GCAAAAAAAGCGGATTTTCGGCCCACGCTAATGTACATGCGTATATGACCCGGCCCCCTTGCGGTAAGCAACATCTAAATATCGGCCGCGTTTCAGCTACCAAGCGCACATGGTTTTTACAAACAAATGTTTTCTATGTCTTGATGTTAATGATCAAATCAGGCAGCAGCGTTGGCATTCATTAAGGTAGAGTTCGTCCTTCCTTTATGGAGTGCTACTGCAGATGTAAATATAAGTGGTAATTAAGGAAATGTACGTGGTTACTTTTTCAAATGCACTTTATTTAAATTCATTATTTTATTTCATTTTTAGAGTATGATAAGTTAGATGTAATGTATGTATGTGAAAAAAGGAAAGTTACGCTCTAGAGACCCCGGACAGCACCCAACCAAATATGGTGCTTTGGGCGAGCAGTGGTCCAAATGTTGTGGGCAGTGTCCCAGGTAATAAAATATCTGCGTAAACGTCGGTTCCCAGGATCACGCGTATCGGTGCGGACGCATAAAAGCGAGGGTCCGCTAAGCGTATATGCGCGTACGGTTCAGCCACTGAGGCATCCGCGTTGCTAGATGGGCTTATTCTGCTAAAATTGGGTAGCGCAATAGCGTGAGTTGCTACCCGTTTATTTTGCCCATATTTTCCCCGTAAGCATAACAGACAACCTCTTTCTCCGCTAACGCGCGTCTCGTCCAGGCGCAACTCTCGGGCTAAGTCAAGTGATATTATAGTTCGAGGGGAACATACGTCGACAAGCGCGCGGATCAAATGTAGGCGCCCTCCAGCTTCTACTTTGACGACTGCAGTCGGAGCGATAGCGATCATTGGTTGAAGTGTTGGCGCAGCTATGGCATGGTGACCCAAGATTCCTTCTGCGAATGCGCGGAGAGGCCGAGTCTCCGCTACATCGCCTGAAAGTGCACCTTCTTCGGTATCTGGACGGAAAGGCCGCGTTTCCGTTCCAGAATCGGACGCAAGTAGCGAGATTACACCATCGGAATTTTCTTCTTCCTCCTCCACCTGTTGGGCCCATGACTTTTTCGATGTGCTGGGTTCATCCTCGAAATGTAGTGTCGAGTGGTGCTTTTCGCCACATCGTTTACATCTGCCTTCGCTCACACAGTCTTTTAATTCGTGATTCATCGCGAGGCAATTAGCGCAGTAGCGTCCTAGTAAGGCCTCACGCAATCGTTCCTCTGGCGACTTCGCACGATACAAAGGGCAAAGCCTGATCGGATGATTTGCGTCGCATAGGCGACATGGTTGCGGATAGCGATGGGCGCGCTGTTCGGCCCTTTTCCTCATTGCGGCAAATTGAGACATCGTTTCCTCTGAAATTGTGTCGATACTTTACGTTGGTTCGAGTTTTACGCTTGATATGAGTTGTTGGGTGGCGAGTGTATCGACATTGGCTAATTACAATAAGGGCATAACTATTTCGCTGATGCATAAGAACAGTTTGGTTTGTGTAAATGGGTTTATCATTCGTACGGCGCAAACTGACTCGTGTAAATTATGTATAAGGCAAGATTTCGACCCACAAAGAAATGAAAAGTGGATCGCACAAATGCCATACATTCCATTGAGCAGGAATGCCTTGGCAAAGTTAAATTTTTATTACATCGAAAATTGTAAATTGTCTTTATGATGTTTGGAAGTGCCAATATTAAGTGAAAAAAAATCATTTCCGTTGATGACTTGATCTACTAATATTCGTAATTAGCAGTTCAACTTCATTGCATGAAGTTGTCGAAAACGTATTACTCTACATTTGGAGAGTTTTTAGCCATTCTCGCAACCCTACAACTAGTCTGCCACCCAAAAAAAAGGTTTGGATGCCACTGTAGGCGATACTCGTCTAAAAACAGGGTAGCTCATATGCAGCAGAATACATAAGTTTAATTTCAAATTTTGTTACAAAATGTCTTATTCCATTTTGAATTTTACATAAAAATATGTGAAATATTTATAAAAGGTTAGTGCATTGATATGGGCTTATGACAATGCATCTTTTTTTTTTTTTTTTTTTACATTTTTATCCCAACAATAAAATATATTTACGGTACTATATGCTTTGTTGCAGAAACATCTTTACTGACTCAAAATATATTGTCACAATTCAAGTGGTGGTAAAAAATTCAAGCGTTGAAAGCCACAGTAGCAAATTCAATTTCGCTAAGAAGTGTAGTAGATCTACTGCCATTGCAGTAAGTTCCGAATGCTGACCGACATACTACGTTCACTTTGTGGAATGCATGTATGTATGTACATTGGTACAATTGTCAGAAACCATTCACGGCGAATTTATACAATGGAAAACCGTATACATACATACAAGGTGAAATGATATTTCTTCATTGAAAAAAAAGAAAATAAATGTCAGAATGAATTCAATGGAAATCCGTATACATACACGGCGAATTCATATTTCATTTCAATTATATTTTTCTGGCACGCGGCGGTTGTGTAATCTTAAGGTTAGGTGAGTATGCGTAAAATATCGTATTATATAGCTATGTTTGAATGTAATTTTTTCTTAATTACAGGATGTGGCTGGGCATAGTTTCTGCTGGTGTTATTTTTCGGCAAATAACACCAACATCGAGGGACTTAATCGACTTACTTGGAGAAAGCTGCTGAAGGTGAAATGGAAGACGCGGAAATGATTGAATCGATAGAAAATTTGGAAGATACTAAAGGCCATTCTACAAAAGAATGGGTTAGTATGCTTGGACCACGAACAGAAATCGCCAATCGCTTTCAGTCTTTTTTGCGCACCTTTGTTGATGAACGTGGTATGTACACATACCGGGACCGTATTCAACGCATGTGCGAACAGAATAAATCTTCATTTGTTGTATTTAAAATCTCAATTAGCTGACGCGAGAACCCACAACGCGGCGCATTACGATCGCCCTTCATAAATATCATCAGATCAGCTTTATTGATAAGCGCCTTTAAGCGATCTTCCAACGATTCACCGGCTACGGAGCCGCCAATTTTTTTTACACTTGGCAGTGATATCAGCTACATTAACACCATCTACGCGATCCACGGCTGTGCCTTTAGTGAAGAAAATAATGGTGGGCACTGCTTCAATCTGGTGCTTCATAGATATCTCCGGAAAGTTCTCGGCCACTATGCTAGCAAACTGTAATTTTGCGCTCAAAATCTTGGCAAGCTCCTCGAGCGCTTCTTGCACATGCTTACACTGTTCAGCCCAATCGGCGGTAAAGAGCACCACTGTGGTTTTTTTCGGCATTGATCAACGCATTATATTCATCGGCGCTTTTAACTGAAATCACTGAAGGGCTAGTAGTCATGTTTATGAATAATGGCAATAACTTGCTTAATAAAAACTTCACGCTGTAAATTTATACGACAGGATCGGAAGGAAGACGCAAAGTTTGCATCCAGCGAGGTTTTTGGGTTAAAAACCAGTTGCCAATTTTATTTATATGTGTGTATGAAGGTCGGTGAGTCATGCGCTTTCAAATTTAGCCTTTTAGTGCAGTCTCTAGTTCGTTATTAGCTTTTAGTTCTTTGATTATATCCAATCCACCTATTAGCTCTCCTTTAGCATACACTTGTGGATATGTAGGCCAATCGGAGTATGTCTTTAAACCTTGGCGAACTTCTTCGTCATTCAGTATATCGAAAGTCTCATAAGGAATATTTGTTGCATCCTACACGGATTTGGCAAATAAAGAGCATGTACTTGCGTACTTCCTACCTGAAGCACCTTTTCAAATGCTAGAAATCTTCGACAAGGTGGCTAAAGACATGGTCTTATCAATATTTCCAACATATGAACGTGTTACAACAGAAATTCATGTTCGTATATCAGAATTGCCTCTTATAGAAGAGTTACGGACTTTCCGGAAACTCCATCTGAACCAGCTGGTGCGTACTTTGGGCGTGGTAACAGCTACAACGGGTGTGTTACCTCAACTTTCAATCATCAAATACGATTGTGTGAAGTGTGGCTACGTTTTGGGGTCACAGTCACAGAATACAGAAGTTAAACCTGGCTCCTGTCCTGAGTGTCAAAGTGCCGGCCCTTTTTCGATTAATATGGAACAAACATTATATCGGAATTACCAGAAGATTACCTTACAGGAATCTCTTGGTCGCATTCCCGCTGGTCGGACTCCGCGTAGTAAGGACGTAATTCTTTTAGCGGATCTTTGTGACTTATGCAAGCCGGGTGATGAGTTAGAAGTTACTGGTATTTACACAAACAACTCTGATGGTTCGCTAAACACTGAGCAAGGGTTTCCGGTTTTCG